CCGAGAGAGGCCCGAGGGGTGGCCGGGGGAGCTGCCGGCGGGCGGAGGTACCTTCAGATTGCCTTTTGTGGTGAACGCTCTCCCGCAGATAGTGCACGCGAAGGGCTTCTCCCCGGTGTGAGTCCGCTCGTGGATCTGCAGGGCGCTGGATGAGGAGAAGGTCTTGCCACACGTGTTGCAGTAGTGTTGCTTGGGAGTTCTCCGGGGCAGGGCCGGCAGCAGCACCGGGGACGTGGCGGAGGGCCCAGGGGGGACGTGGCCGGCGGGGGGGTCCTTACTGTCCTGAGGAGGGACGTGCACGAAACCGTTGACCTCGGTTTTGATGAGCGACGACAAGGGGTTGGTGGGGGGCATCGCCGCCGGGCTCTGGCCGGGGCCGAGGTTGGAGCTGGGCTCGAAGAGCTGGGAGGGGAGGTCGCGCATCTGGTGGGTCAGCATGTGCTGCTTCAGGTTGCCCTTGGTGGAGAAGCCGCGACTGCAGACTGTGCAAATGAAGGGTCTCTCTTTGGTATGACTCCGGTAGTGAATGTCCAAGGCACTCTGACAAGCAAACGTTTTGCCGCAAATGTCGCAAGCTGTGTTCTTAAACTTCCCCCGGTCCCTGAACGGGAAGAGGAAGCCCAGAGAATCTTCCTTGATGATTTTCTCCGCGTGGCTCGAGGTCAAGTCCAGGGCCCCGCCGTTCACGGGGGCGGGAGACAGGCCATTGGCGAACTCGCCCGGGCCCGCCCTCGGGGGCTTCTCGTCGGCGCCGGGCGACTTGTGGGAGTCCTGGGCGCCGCTGGAGGGGGACAGAGCCTGCATGGACGAGGTGGACTCGGACATGGCCGGGCTGCCCGCGCTCTGGCTCTCCACGTCGCCCCCCACGGAGGACGAGTCGTTGGTCAGGACGTCCCCCTCGACCGACCCGTTCTCCATGGCCTTGAGGCTGGCCTGCAGCTGCTCGGCCAGGCCGGCGTTGATCATCTTCATCTGGTTCTCCAGGGCCGCGATGCTCGACACCTCCAGGGGCAGCGGCGAGGACGACAGGCTGTCCTGGGAGGCGTCCGCCGACCTGGGCGTGTCGGGGATGCTGCCCTCGGGACAGTCGTCCATGTTTTCATCGGAGAAGGTGTCTACATCGTCGAAGTTCTTCTCGTCGAAGGAGCCGGTGTCGGAGCCCATGGACTCGGGGTAGCCGTCGGGCACGGGCGTGTTGGGGATCTGGCCGCCCATGTGCATGCGGATGTGCTGCTGCAGGACCACGGCGTTGGTGAACTTCTTCTGGCAGATGGGGCAGGAGTGCTGCACGCGCAGCGGGGGCATGGCGCGGTGCACGCTGTAGTGGGTCTTGAGGTTGCCCTTGGTGGTGAAGGCGCGCCCGCAGACCTTGCACTTGAAGGGCCGCTCCCCGGTGTGCGTGCGGTAGTGCATCTTCAGCGCGCTCTGGCAGCTCAGCACCCGGTGGCAGATGACACACTCGTTGGGGTCCGCGGCCTTCTTGTCGATGTTCTCCACCAGCTGCTGCAGCTTGGACGTCTCCGACGTCTGCATGGAGTCGAGCAGCCCTCCGAAGGGAAACTTGGCCTTGAACTGGTCAGAGCTGGCCACGAGGACCGGGCTGCAGAGGCCAGTGGAGATGCTGTTGTCCGTGAGGGTGGTGGCGGCTGATGGGGGTGGCCCAGAGACCTG